GCAGCTGTCTAATGGTCATCTCTGACTGGTCACAGGAAGTGCTAGGTGAGACTCGGCCTGGCTTATTCTGGCATGTTCCAGGGAAAGGAACATCTCCAAGCATTTGTCCTCTGAAGTTGGGGGACAGATGAGGCAATTGTGATGTGTGAGGCATTGGCTCTGACTCCACCCCTCTGGCCCACCCTTCCCCAAGGACCCTGTGAGCTGGGGAAGATCAAGTGGGATCCTCTGGCTGGGCAGACTCCCAGGAAGGGCCTGAGAGGAGGCATTTCTGACTTTGCAGGCCACATGGTCTTTGGCCGCTCCTCAGCCCTGCTGTTGTAGCCAAAAGAATCACAGCTGTTTCCAATAAAACTTTATTTACAAAGGAGGTTTTGTACCGAATTTGGCCCACGAGTTGAATTCTGCCAACTCCTGATGTGTGTCCAAGTTGTTAACAGCACAAGATAAAAACCTACGTGTCCACTGGTGACTATGCATTTTTACATTTTGTTTAGAAACACTTTCAGTGCCTAGTTCTAGTTTATTTGTGCATGAACTCATTGATACCTAAACGTTTTTTTCGACTCTTTATCACCTAAGAAATCATTATTATTGTTCTTTCTCCAAATTGTAGTGCCATTTACTCATGTTTATTCATATTGGCTGAGGGAAAGGGTTTTTCTTTTCTTTTTTTTTTTTTTTTTAGTTTGGCTGATGTAGTTGATTCAGCCAGCCCACCCCTGAGGACAGGGCCTGAGCTCTGCCTTGTGTGGAGCGTCACCCAGGATGAGTGGCAGAAAGGACTAAATTACTATTGTAGCCATTTTGTTTGCACAACTCATTGGTAACTTCTGCATATTTAAAAAATTTCAAAAAGAGCAAATTAACAAGTATTTAGGGAAGTGTCTCGATTGCACTTTCATTTCTGAAGATTTGGCTTGACACAGTTGTGGGTTTTTTTCAAATTTTCTACAAATACTGCATCAGCCTATGAGTGTAGGGTGTGGCATAAGAGTCCTGTCTCAGTCTCCTTCATTATGTGCCCTGTTAGTGAACCAAAGTACTGGAAGCAGGGGCTGATTTCACATCAATGAATCATAAACGTTTTCTCATTAAAGCTGGATATTGTGTCCCCGAACACCTGCCCTGTGAGAGGTGGCTTTAGTTTTGGTGTAGGAGCAGTGTGAAGCTCTGTTTTAGCTGACCATGCCTGTGTTTTCTTTACAAGGGTGTTGTATGTATAAGCCAACTCACTCACTCATAGAATAGTTATTGATGAATTAACCACGATGTGCCAGGAACTCTCCTAGTTTCTTGGTGGTCAGTGGCAAACAAAGCAGAACAGACCCCTTCCTTAGTGCAGCTTACGTTCCAGCAGGCCAGACATGAAGCAGAATAAAATGGTAATACAGGTATTGTGTTGGCAGAAGCAAGTGCTCAGCGTAAAAGCTAACGTGGCAAAGCAGGATAGAGGGAGAGGGTGGGGGGAGCCAGAGGTTCTGGACCATGTGAGGTGGTCTCAGGAGGGACACCAGCAAAGGCAGGTTTGCAGCAGGGTCTGGAACAATGAGAGTGTGGTCGGGTTGGGAAGAGCATCTTTCCTAGAAGCAAGAAATGGCACAGTCGGTGACAGGACCCATTGTGATTGCTTTTTTTTTTTTTTTAATTAAAATTGGTTTTTTTTAGTTGTTGATGGAGCTTTATTTTATTTATTTGTATGTGGTGCTGAGAATGGAACCCAGTGCCTCACACATGCTAAGCAAGTGCTCTATCACTGAGCCCCAGCCCCAGCCCCTGTAATTGCTTTTTAAAAACGTACATACTGTACTATAATTCTGGACAGAATTTTCCAAGGGGCTGAACAATCCATGCCTTGTGTTGTGTTTGAGGGGCAGCCAGTTGATCTTGTGGAGGTAGCTGGGGGACATGGTCATGGAAGGCCCAGGAAGGGGAGCCAGTGGGAAGTTACCAAGGAGCGCTGGGCATGTCTGTGGACAGATGCTGCTGACCAGGCTACCTGGTTTGCAGTCCTGAGTCCAGGTGGCCGCCAGTGCACCTCAGCGCTTCCTGCTGGAGACAGGAAGTGGAAGGTGGCCCCACCTGTGTCCTTACCTGAAACCTGGCTGGGGGCCCACTGTGTGCCCCTGGTGAGACGCTATTAGTGGTTTCAGTCACACTGCCCAAGAGATAAGAAATTTCAGGAATTCTGCTCCATGGCCCTGAAACAGAATCCCAGACAATGGGCCTTTCTTGGAACCCTGGGCCTTGCTTTCTGCCAGCTCAAGGTCTTTGTGCATCTCTCTCCCGTTCAGACCTGTCAGCCTCCAGGTGCACTGGTTTTCATGACTGGTATGGTAGCTGTTGGACGGCACAGGGCAGGTAAATGCACATCTTTCTCACAGTGGCTTCTGGCCTGGCAGAAGCCCGGCAGGGTTCCCTGGAGTCCACGAGTGCGAATTTGAAAACTTGCCACACACACTTTGAACCCAGGCTGTGTCTGTGTGGGAGGTCCTACGGTGGGCAGCTGAATCTCGGACTCTGTTGTAGGCCCTTCACACATCACCTGTCCTCTCTCCAGCACGACCCAAGCTGCTGGCGTGGGTGCCTGCCGTCCTTGGTACCACTCTGCCTGCCCACAGACCCGTAGGTGAGGAACCAGAGATGGGAAATCAAAACAGGAGCCACCTGGGAGAAATCCCCTGCAGAGAGAGCGAGCTCTTCCAAGGAACTGATGTCAGCTGTCAGCTGGGCTCTGCTGATGGGATGAGGCAGCCAGCTGTGGGGTCATACTGGGCCTCACTGCCCCCCCCCAACCTGTGTGACTGTGTACCGTGTATTCAGCCTCTCTGTGCCTCTTTCTTATCTAACGTGGAGGCAACAGTGTCTACCTGTCGATTGTGTGGCGGGTTATATAATGAAAGACCTTTGGCCTCACCTGGCAGCCAGTGTTCTCTGCAGAGACTGACATTGGAGAAAATGGTCCCTCTTATGATCAGACATGAAGAATATCATGCCTACTGTCTTGCCCCAGTTTTTTTCGTATCGTTCATTCCAAAACCTCATACTCTTGTTTTCTCATTTTCCTTCTAAGAGCACCTGGTTGCTCTTTTAATTGAGGGACTTATTTTTCAAGGTGAACCTGAGTGAAATCCTCCCTCCCCACGTGCACCGCTTTCTCTGGAGTGTGCCTTGCTGTTCGGTGGATTTGCTCAGTCACTCCGTTTTCACTGACTCTCCTTTGGTCATGAAGACTGCCTCTTGGGGCTTTTGTGAATGAGATCATGCCGGTGGCAGGAGAGCATGCAGGGGACACTCAGTATTTGTTGGTGACTCTTCTTAATCTGGTGTTCCCATAGGGTAGGAGGGCAAGAGCCCAGGGCGGTGTCAGGGCCCGTGTATCCTCCTCTTCTGTGGACATTCAGCTCTTACTCTGAATCAGACTCCTCAGAGCAGGTGCAGGAGCTGAAGGCGAATCTCTTCTGCCATCTACCTCCTTTTCTCCCTGATGCCCCCTCTGTTCTGTGCCCTGCCCCCCAGCTGGCTGTCCAGAGTAGGAGTTGGGTGAACACAGGTGTCACAGTGCACCATGCCTCCTGAGTGCTGTGTGGATTGCACGCAGGACGGGAGGGTCGTTTCTCTCCCTTGGGGGGTTGGAGGGCCTCATCAAGGAGACCTTTGGTCTGGCCGAAGAGCTAGAGCTCTTGAGGATGAGGTATGGGGTGCATCTCAGGTCAGTGTGCAAATGTGGAGAACTGTGGCTGCCCAGTTAGGGGTGTGGACACTGGCCTGGGTTACATGGAACCACATAGGGGCTTATAGGGGCTTTTTTTTTTTTTTAGTGCAGGGTTATTGGAATCTGGTTTATACACAGTGAAGTGCCCCCCTGAGTGTGTACAGTTTGATGAGTTTTGGCAGATTAATAGAGTCCTGTGACCGTCACCATCAAGGTGCAGAATTTTCTTCATCCGCATGAGCTTCCTGGTTGCCCCCTTGCAGTCAGATCTCCTCCGGAGCCTCCGGCAACCCCGGGTGTGCCTCTCCAGAACATCCTGTGAGGTTAGAGTAGGGGCCTTCCTGTCTGGCTGTAAGTTCACAGAGTGGTTTTGAGATCCATCCTGTTGCGTGTGCTGGTAGTTTGTTCCTGGGGTTTTAAGAGGTAAACAGTGTTGTGATGCCTGGGGGACCTGCTGCTGCTGGTGTGTGTACAGAGGAGGAGGGCGTGGCCGCTGGCTCCACGGGAGCCTCCTGGAAACCCAGGGACACCATCCGGGGTTCTGGGGACAGGAGAATCAGCCAGGGGCAGAAGACGGGAGGGCGCCTGGAAGGCGGGACTGAACACACCTGCAAGCTGCAGAGCAGGAGAGGCCCCAGACTTGGTGTGAGTTCCCTGCAGGAGGCAGGGCTGGGAACACCAGCATCCAGGGCCTCTCTGAAGCTTTTGCTTTTTTGCTGTATTTCAAGCTTCAGTAAAGCAATTAATGACATCTTATAAATAATGTTCAGGAGCTAAAGGATGTATAGTGAGCGTTCTGTAAATTCAGGAGACTAAAGTCTGATGGTCGTGAGTTACGGTAACATACCGTCCAGTCATGAGAATGTCTGCTTGGGCCATGAGGCGTTTCTGGGAAGAAAACAGTGTAATTTTTTTTTTTTTCATATCAGGATAATTGATATGAAAAAATCATATCTGATTTTTTCATATCAGAAAATTGTTACAGATCAGAAGTCTCAGCAAATGTTTCTTGCCCATGGAAACCCTTTCCTTTCCCAAAAAAGAAGAAATATCATCTACTAAGCTGTGTTGCAGCTGTAGATTTTCCTAAAAATGCATAACTTGAGGCACAAGTGACCCAGTCAGGGTTATAATAGACCTGCCTGCATTAAGTTAGGGAAAACGATGAAATACAAATTCATTCTCACCTGTGCCCCGAACTCCAGTGAGATCGTGTTTTAAGTGCCGTTGAAAACCCATGACCAGAGAGCTGGGCGATGAGCGTGTCCTCCTTGGCTCTCCTCAGTCTTGCTGCTGGAGAAGATCGAGCAGGACGACGTCTACAACAAGACGCTGAAGATCACGGACTTCGGGCTGGCCCGAGAGTGGCACAGGACCACCAGGATGAGTGCAGCCGGCACCTACGCTTGGATGGCCCCCGAGGTCATCAGGTCCTCTCTCTTCTCCAAGGGCAGTGACGTCTGGAGGTGAGCGGTGGCTGTGCTGAGTCCCGTGGGGCTGGGTGGCCCTGAGCTGAGCAGCCAGGTGCACCTGCAGGGGGTTTAGATTTCTAGCCAAGAGCCACAGGACGGGGATTCGGGGGGCTCTGTAGTCGAGACCCCATGTACTGGGCGAAGCTTCCTGATTGGAGCTCACAGTCTGAGTGAAGGGCAGGCCAGGGAGTGAAAGGAAATCACCCCTCAAGCAAACTTGACTCCTGTGATTCACAGACAACTAGCTGGAAGGAGCTGGAGGAAAAGGAAATTTAGACGGTCCCTCCATGTCCTCCATGTTTCCTCGGAAGGTTGAGGGCCTTGGGATGAGGATGGAGAGTGGACCCAGCTGGGACACCAGGTGCTGCTGCTGTCACTCAGCTGTACCTCCTGAGAGTGAATAGATAAAAAAAAATGTGGCATTTATACACCATGGAGTATTAACGCAGCACTAAAAAATGACAAAATCATGGAATTTGCAGGGAAATGGATGGCACTAGAGCAGATTATGCTTAGTGAAGCTAGCCAATCCCTAAAAAACAAATACCAAATGTCTTCTTTGATATAATGAGAACAACTAAGAACAGAGCAGGGAGGAAGAGCAGGAAGAAAAGATTAACATTAAACAGAGACACGAGGTGGGAGGGAAAGGGAGAGAAAAGGGGAATTGCATGGAAATGGAGGGAGACCCTCATTGTTATACAAAATTACATATAAGAGGTTGTGAGGGGAATGGGAAAATAAACAAGGAGAGAAATGAATTACAGTAGATGGGATAGAGAGAGAAGATGGGAGGGGAGGGGAGGGGGGATAGTAGGGGATAGGAAAGGTAGCAGAATACAACAGTTACTAATATGGCATTATGTAAAAATGTGGATGTGTAACTGATGTGATTCTGCAATCTGTATTTGGGGTAAAAATGGGAGTTCATAACCCACTTGAATCTAATGTATGAAGTATGATATGTCAAGAGCTTTGTAATGTTTTGAACAACCAATAAAAAAAAAAAAGAAAAAGAAAAAAAAGGAGGGCAGAGAGAAGCCAGGCCTCTCAACAGCACCAGTGTCCTCAGAGCTAGCTAGCCTTGGCTGTTGCTCGTCAAGCCCTGCTTGGCACGTGTTAAAATCACAGGTTTTTCTCTATGGTCTTTGAGCAGCCTTGCTGACAGGCACTTCCCATATCATGCAATTCGCCCCCGAACCGCACACTTCAGTGGGTTTTGGTGTATCAGTAGAGCCCATCAGCATGGTCAATGTGGAACATTTTTGTTGCCCCATAAAGAAGCCCCATATCCCCTCACCCTTCAGTCTTGGGGCCCCTTCTCTCCTGGCCCCGGGCCGTAGTCTGCATGCCAGGTCTGTGGACTCGCCTGTTCTGGACATTTCTTCCAAATGGAACCTTCCAGTATTTGTCCCTTGGTGCTGGCTTCTTCTACTGCATCAAGAGCTTCGTTCTCTTCAGGGCCAAGTGATAGTCCCTTCTGCAGATGGGCCCCATTTTGCTCACCCATTCAACTGGCGGTGAGTGTTTGCTCTGCGTCCACTCCTGCTTACTGTGAATAATGCTGCTGCAAACACCCACATGCAGATTTCCTGAGGACGCGGGTTTGGTTCTTGGGTACATACCCAGGAGTGCTGTGGTTGGGCCACATGGCAATTCCATGCTTAATTGTTGAAAAGCCACCCCTGCCTTCCAAAGGGGCTGTTCCTTTCTGAGCTGACCAGGTTCCTTGCCAACTGGGTCGTTAGCTGATTTTCTGACTCTGGAGTGTCCCAGGTGTGAAGTGTGTTTCATTGTGGTTCAAATTCAAATTTTTATATATTCATTTTTTTTAACACAAAAGAAAACTAATGGCAGGAGAGGTAATGTCACTTGCTAGTGTCCATTCCCATGGAGTGATAGGTCTCTGTTTAAATCCAGATGTGTCTGACTTCCAAATTTCTGATCAGCAAAAATTATTTTTTCCTTTAATTTTAAAATGCACTGGAAGTTACTCAGACTCACACGTGAAGTCAGTGGCAAAAACCCCTGTCAGTAAAAGTTCCATAAAATTGCTTTATGTTTACAACATTTAAAATATGATTTAGTTATTTTATTTACAATTTGTAAGAAGCTTATTGTTGGGTGGGGAATTCTGTGGTGTCTTAGCACCAGTTTAAAAAATTCAAAGGCTTCGACATCCCTGCTTACTGAGTTAGACTGTCCCCTGGTAGAGGCTGAGCATAGGTTTTTATAAGAAAATAAAGGTTTTCATTGATGTCATCACATTGGTTTTCTAGCCATGTGAAAATGGCATGTGACGTGAGTGAAATTGGCCACCCTTGTAAGAAATCATACTTCAGGACTCTAAGAACTATTAAACTATGTCATCCATCAGGTTCACAATCAAAATGATAGTTCTGAAGGTAGGAGCCATGTCATCCTGTGCCTCTGTCACAGGCCTGTGGTCAGCAGGAGGCGTGAGCTCCACATGCTCCCAGCTGCCTTGTCTGCCTAGAAGGAAGCAGGAAGCAGGCTGGGGGCTTGCGACAGCCAGGAAGCAGGGCTCTCCCCAATTGGCCCGCCAGGCTAATGGTACTGAAACATGGCCGAAAGCAAGGTGAGTGGCAGGCAGGAACCGCAGGAAGTAAGAAAGCAGAGGATCGAGACCCTGGGACCCTCCGGCTGCTGGGTGCAGAGCCTCATGCCTGCCCCTCTCCGAAATGCACAGCATTGCATGTGGGGGAGTGTGACTCAGTCACGTGCAGGTTTGGTCTCCCACACGGGAAGTTTCTCCTGGATTCTGCCTACCCTGGCCACCACGTCTCCTTTTGTAATATTTCCATGAGAAGAGCCTTCAGAAAGCAGGTCCTGCCTGTGCAGTGGGCGGATCGCGATGTGGGTCCACCGGACCTCTTCCCCTCCCCCCTTGCCAGTGTTCCACTGCAGGGTCACTCCCTGTGCATGAAGCTGGACACTCACCTGATGTCCACAGCAGTTCCTGCTGCCCCAGTAGTACAGGAGCCAGGTGCGAGAAGTTAAGTTCCTCGGGGTGCTGCTCTGGGTGGTGAGGCCAATGAGAAGCAGGCTCCAGTCCTGGGACCAGACCTGTGACTCCAGGCACCAACATCAGGTCACATGCCCTGGGGCTCTCAGGGAAGGGCTGTCGTGGGCTCTCCTGCCCAGCAGAGGACAGGAACACTGGCCCGTCCCTTCAGCATCAGCCCTGGGTACAGCTGTGACCTCCCAGCTGGGCTTCCACGGGGTGAGCCCTCTTCTCTATCATGACCTGTCCTGTAGGGTCGTTCTTTCCCTGAAACTTCTGAGAAGAAAAATCATCTTGTTTTATGCTTTGGTTGTGTCATTTGCTAATGAGATTTCTTTAAAAATATAGTCGGAGTTGGACACAATACCTTTATTTTATTTATCTCTTTATTTTCCTGTGGTGCTGAGGATCCAGCTCAGTGCCTCACACATGCCAGGCAAGTGCTCCACCACTGAGCCACAACCCCAGCCACAACCCTGCTAATGAGATTTTTAAAAAAAAAATTTTTTTTTTTATGTTGATGACTTTGAGTTCTGAGAATTTTTTGATCCTCTGCTCTGAGGTGATTTTTCTTAACCAATATATGAGTTAAATTTACTTATTCTTGAGATCATGTCATTACTCATGAATCAAGATGGAAATAATTGGCAAGAAACTAACCAGGTAATCTTTGAAAAGTATTGGTTTCAGAGTGAAAGCTAAGAGGTCTGGCATGTCACCATTTATGGTGCTGCGTCCTGTACGTGACATGTTTGTCTTTTCTCTTTGGCACCGAGCAGCTCTGAGGGGTGGAGCAGGGTTTGCTGTTATTTAAGGCTGAGCTGACTGAAGAGGGTCTCTCTGGGCTGTGAGTGCAGACAGGGCTACTGGGCAGCTCACCCACGGCCTGCCTCCTGCCTGGGCATGCCCCGGGTCTCAGTGCCAGAGCAGCCCTGCCCAGGGTGGAGGAGCACCAGCTCACCCCAGGGCCTTTGCCTGGCACTGCTGTGTTCTCCCTTCTTTCCCGTGTGTGTCGGTTCCCAGCCTAGAGTGCAGGCAGCCCTAGTGGACAGGGTCTGTGTGGTGTGCAGGTGTTTGAGCTGTCCTCCCCCTGGGCAGTGGCCACTGAGCCAGCTGGGTGAGCCACCCTGGTGGGGACTTCAGGAAGGCCACATGTGTTTCGAAGCCGTCATGAAGAAGGGGCGCCTGGGCTTTTTGACACCCTGCTGACTTTTCTTTCCAGCTATGGCGTGCTGCTGTGGGAGCTGCTCACGGGAGAGGTGCCCTACCGTGGCATCGACGGTCTTGCTGTGGCCTATGGAGTGGCGGTCAACAAGCTCACTCTGCCCATCCCGTCCACCTGTCCCGAGCCGTTTGCCAAGCTCATGAAAGGTATTTATTTGTCTAACCGTTGCTTTCGTCATCCACATGGGTAACCATAAAAGCAGTGTCTGGTGATTCCAGTTCCCAGTTGCTTAGAGGATAAGCCTGTCTTGGATAGGAACCGTCACATGACCCGCATAGCTGAACACCAGGCGTGTTTAACAGAGCCTCCTTTCTGTACAGAGCTCAGCCGAGTGGAATGAACGTTTCCCTGTACAGCGCAGAACTCCAGCGGCCCTGAGCTGGGCCACATCTGCCATCTGTCACACCTAACGATCAGAAGTGTTTTACAGGCTTACCTGGCCTGGTTGTACCTGACCCTGTCTATCTGATCCTTATCTCTCGAAACTTGTTAACTCTTGGTGAGCTGCGCTAGCCCCATGGTCAGGCTGTTTCCTAGAACTGCTGTTGTGAGGATGGCACTCTGGAGACTGAGTTCCTGGGACGGGTTTTATGGACGTGCATTTCTGCACCAGGAAGTCTGTATTTATGGATTCTTTTTTTCTTTTGGTGACCCTGGCAGCTGAAGCCTCTGCAACACCATTCACGGCAAGGCACAGGACACGCAGGTCCAGGTGCTGGCCGTGGTGTGGTGCTGGCCGCAGCAGCCTTCCTGGCAGGGACCTGGGTTGATACAGTGTGGACAGACTTGTCACTGGGTCCTTCAACCTTCAGGGCAGATGTTAAAGACATGGGTTTCTGGTTCAGTGACAGATGTTAAGCTGAACACCGGGTTGGTGTAAAAACACATCTTAAAACCTCACTGTGGATGTCCCCTGAAGCACGCCCAGGGAGAATCACATGGTTCTCGTTTATCTTAGAGTGCTGGGAGCAAGACCCTCACATCCGCCCGTCCTTCGCCTTGATTCTCCAGCAGCTGACCGCTCTAGAAGAGGCCGTGCTGACCGAAATGCCCCAGGATTCTTTTCATTCCATGCAGGATGACTGGAAACTGGAAATTCAGCACATGTTTGATGAGCTGAGAACCAAGGAAAAGGTGAGACGGACTTTTTAATTATAACATACTTACATTCATAAAAATTATGGAAAATAAGAGCCAAAGTCACTAGTAGCGTTATTCTACAGTATTTTCAGTATTTATGGATTCTTGCTTTCTTTTGGTTAAAAATAAAAGAAAAGCAAAAATGTCCTTAAAATGGATAATTGGGGGAAAAAGTCCTTTTGTTTGGAAAATTTTTAAATGTTAAAAAAAAATGGAATAGCATAATAAACCTTTTGTGTGCATTAACCACAGTTTAGTAATTGTCATAATTTCATCATTTGATAAATCTCTCCCCACTATTATTATTATTGTCATTATTGTTACTACTCCTACTACTGTTATTTGGCATTACTGGGGACTGAACCCAGGGTGCTATACCACTAAACTACATCTCCTGCACTTTTTATTTTTTGAGACAGGGTCTTCTCACTAAGTTGCCCAGGCTGGTCTTGAAACTTGTGATCCTCCTGCCTCAGCTTCCTGAGTAGCTGAAATTACAGGCCTGCACCACCATACCTGATTCCCTTTGTGTTTTTTAAACTGGAATATTTAAATCAAATCATGTTATTTTACCCATAAGCCCTTTGGTGAGTCTTTATCTTTCTTGCCAAAACATCCACAGTAACCCTCCCATCTCATATACTTGCTCGGTATTCGGAGGTCACACTTGGCCTGTACTGAGAGGTCACAAAGATGCCTTCTTGCAGTTTGCTCATGCACCTCAGACTCACACGTGGTCTGCATGGTTTCGTGGTCAGGGCTTCCAAAGCCTCTTTGATGCTGGTTCTTCCTGCTTCACCTCTCTGATTTCCGAGGCCATTGCTTTGCTGGGGAAACAGGACCGTTCATAAGTTTGGACTCCTAAGGTGTTGCCATAGAGCTGTGCTTGGCTTAGGCTTTCACGAGGTGTGGGGTATATCGGCCCATATGCTAAGCACACTGAGGCTGCAGCTCTGTGACACGAGAGGGGACCCCAGGTCAAGAGCACAGTGGGAAAGCAGACTGGGAGATGAGTCATGTGGTTTCCTGGATGAAGACAGATGCTATTGAGGGCCACGTAGGGACCCCATATTCAGGCACGCCTCTCTGGTGCAGTGGTGGTATTTATTACTTAAAGACATTTTGTAGTGCCTGAGCATTTTGACTGTCAGGGTTTCTTCCTGACTGGAGTGCATGACCTGCAATACTGTTGAGCCCTCTGAATGTTTGTGCACACAGATTCCTAACGTGTCATGTTGAAGTAAAACATGGTAAGTTTCTGTGACCTCTATGAGGTTATACCCTTGTAGGAATCCCATACCTCATCAGACTCTCAGGTGGACAAGGGGGACGTTCGTTTAGGAGAGGACTGAGGTGTGGTCTCTGGGCTCTTGGGATGTTAGCCTGCCATGAAGGCTGTCAGCTCCCCTCTGGGGAGCTCAGGAGATGGCATGGGATCACCCAGGGGTCTCATGCCAGCATTGGTGGCCATCTTTAGTGGTGAAGACCAGGGCTCTGAGCCAGATGGCCTGGCCAAGTGGGCTTGAACTCAGTGTCACTCTCTGCTCTTGGGCACTGGAGTGTCCTAGCAAGGTCATTGTCCCTAGGGTTGGGGGAGGTTGGGCGAGCTTTCCTTGCAGTACCCCACTCCACTTAGGAAGAGCTGGGTACTTGTTCACCTCAGGAGAGGACAGGCTGGCCTTAGCTGACCTGGGCAGTGTCTTGGCAGAAGGTGGGCACCTGCTGCGGAGGGATGTGGAGGCCACAGGCTGGCTGGCCCTTCTCCTTGCAGTTCTTGGCAGGACTACTCTCAGTGGGGAGGTCACCATTACATTTAGGGTGAACTTCAGTGCTATTAGTTGACTTAAAATGATATTTTTCTCTTTTATATATCTCTAAATTATTTTCAGGAATACTAAAATTTGATGGTTCATCACAAAAATAAGAATGATTTTATGCAGTGGTAGAGGATTTTTGAGGCAAAAATACTTAAAATCACAGAATTAAAATTGGGAAGTGATCTCATTAGTCACAGCTATTCCGACCTTTTTCCTTTAGTCATTGATGAAGCCTCTCTGGGGCTGCAGGATGCAGGCGTGTTGGGCGATTCTCCTGTCGGTGGGTTAGGAATAAGAACTTGCTTCCAGAGCACTTTCTGCATCTTGAGGTTGAGAGTGGAGTCTTTCTTATTCTTCTGATTTCATTTTCAGCTGTTTTGGTGCTGTTTTTTCCTTTCACTTTGATTCTTACCCATTGCTCTTTGGAATCCAGCATTGATGGTATCTTGTGAGCCTTTGATTCATTATAAGAGAATCATCCCACCTTATGAATTTGTTTTGCTTAAAGCTTCCCGATGGCATCTTTCTGACGCAGTGAAGAGCACAGGGTCCAAGTTGGGTCTCCTCTGCTCACAAGGAGGCTTGGGCTCCTGGGCTGGGAGACGTGGGCTGGGATGGACGGCCATGCACTGGGCCGCCACAGTCTTATTGCTCAGCTACATTCAGCCTCGCAGATGTGAGTCCTGAGTCCCCCTGCCTCTCTCCAAGTGCCTGCTTGGGTTCTGTTGGACAGGAGGTTGTCGTTAATGATTGAGCTGCGCGTCGGGTTTGCGTCTGGGAACCCGGATCTGCCGTTTTCAAGGATGGCCTGCGGCCAACACCTGCCCCTTCTGGCACTCCTTCCAGTGGGAGGACTTGCTTGGTGTGCTTCATTACAAAATAGCCAGAGGGTTTAATGCCCAGACCTCTTTTTTTCTTTGACTTTAGAATTTTAAAATTCACACAGAAGGAAGATGACTTTGACTACCTTCTCTTTGATCATATATAAATATTTACCATGTTTTAGGCAAGTGGTTTTTTTTTTTTCATTTTTTTCGGGCGAGGTTGTTACAAGGGGAGGCATATTTTAGATTGGACTTGGAATTAAAAGTGGTTTCTTATTTAATTCATGTAGTAGTGACACAAAAGTTCGAGTGAATGCGCTGCCCATATCTCGTCCTTATGCCTCTCATTTGACAATAGTGAGCTGGATCGGGGTCAACACCGCTGAAATGTAATATCTTTTTTAAAAGGTCATGTTGGGAGTTAGAAGCTGTGAGCTGAATGGAAATTATCCTCTGTCCCCAAATACACTGTAGTAAAAGCTCCAGTTTGGACAAACTAGTTGGAGAAAGTTACCAGTGAAAAAATGAATCACAGAACTTTAAAAAATATATTACATTTTTTTTTCTTTTCAAATAATAAATAGCAGTCTGCACCTGACACACTGTAATGAGGAAATGCTGAGCTGCTGTATAAGCAGGACCCAGCTGGTGCTTATCATAGGACCACCGTGAGGCCGGCTATCTGGGGTAAACCATTCCCTTTGCAGTTTTGTTTGTGCACTTTATTTTTTAAAATTTAAAGTAAAGGATGCTTCAGAGTTGAGTTTCAGTTCTCTTTGGTGGAATTGCCATAAATTCAGAATTGGTTTGATCTGAATGAACATATTTGTTCTTGGAGCTCCTGGTCTCTTAACTTTTTGTGTGCTGAGGCTGGAACCCAGGGCCTCATCCTGCTAGGTAAGGGCTCCATCTCTGAGCTGCACCCCGGGTCTTCCAGTCTCTTCTGTATCTTGTCCTGTTAGTTTTTGTGTGTTGGAGGGGTGGATGGCGGAGGGGGTGGTTCTGTGTTTATTTTGCTTTGTGATAATTGTTCTGACAGACCTGAGTCCATCTGTAAAGTCCAAGGGGCTGGCAGAGTTGAACTGGCCTCCTAGTCCCTGGCTGGCCCTGGGGAGCAGCACCCTGGAGGTGGGCCACATGCAGTGGGACATGTTCCCCACCTTCAGGACTTGCAAAGCCCAGCCTGGAGCTCTGCCTGAGCAGCCATCTGCAGATCTGACCAAGGGTGGACTGAGGCTGCGCTAAGATTGAGTTCGTCTGAGCAGAGTACGGGAAAGCTTGCAGATACCCTGTTTTCCGTGTAAGTGCTAGATTTAATAGCAATATGTCTACAATAGAAAGGAGTTCACCCCTCAAAGGAATAGCTATGTCCTTGGCAAAGAAGAGAACACAACAGAAACAGGAATGGAGATATGGTTTAAATGTAATAGCATTCTCAGATTCCATGTTGAATAATTTTTTTTCCAAGAGGAATAAAATATTTTTAACTCATAGGTGTCCGCTTTCTCAGAAATTCAATAAATTCTAAAACCAAAACCAAGAAGAAGTTGACATTAGTCAGTAAGCATTGCTGAGGAACTTCTGTTGGGTAACTTATAGGAGCTGTCTGGGGCGGGAGAAGCTCCATGGGGGGTGCCTGTGCTGAGGGTCTCGGTTTGGCGTGTCCCACTGTCCCTTCCAGCACTGTCCCTTCTGGCAGGCTCTTCCTGCCTCCTCCCACACCAGCTTGCTTCCTTTTTTCTCTCCATCTCATGTTTTATTCTCAAGCAGCAGTTAAATGCCCGCAGGAAGGGCCTCCCTAAAGAAATCTGGACTGCAGGATTTGGAACTTAGGGTAATTATCCTTCCACTAATGGCTTCACCGCTGGGCTTCCTTCTGCAATGGGCCACTTGGGCCTGTGGTCGTTGCTGTGCTAACAAACGTTGATATGCCGGGTGGCTGCAGGCTGCAGGGAACCGTGCAGCTCAGGCGTGAGAGCTCGTGATGCCATCTCTGGATCACAGAGCTGAGAGGGCACAAGGAGCGCAGAGGCCTGGGTTTCCTCCAGGTCCATGGTGGGCTGGCCGGCTCCGCACTCTGGGTGCCCTTACTCCTGGGAGCTCTGGAGGATAGGGAGCTTCGCCCAGCGCACCTGGGAATCCAGAGGCTAAGGTTTGCAGAGGGTGTTAGAGTTCTGAAGGCCCTTCTTCCTGCAGGGAGTGACTCCCTGGGTGTGACCCTTGCAGGAGCTGCGGTCCCGGGAGGAGGAGCTAGTGCGGGCTGCTCTGCAACAGAAGTCTCAGGAAGCCCTGCTCCGGCGCCGGGAGCAGCAGCTGGCAGCTCGTGAGATCGACGTGCTGGAGCGAGAGCTGAACCTCTTGATCTTCCAGCTGAACCAGGAGAAGCCGCAGGTGAAGAGGAGGAAGGGCAAGTTCAGGAGGAGCCGCTTGAAGCTCAAAGATGGACATCGCATCAGTCTCCCCTCAGGTAGGACATGTTCTCACATTTCTGGAGGATCTCTGTGCCTCAAACTGTTAACTGGCTTTGTCTCCTCAGAACTGGGAAAGCTTGGGCAGGAAGGTTTTAAAACAGTGAATGCGTAGATATGCACAGTTGGTTGCTCATCCTGTCCTCATTCAGTGACCCTATGACCTTCAGGTGCAAAGCAGCGTAGAGGAGTGTGTGGCAGTTCATTCAGGCCTCAGCCTGCCTCCCGTGACATGGTGGGTGGATCTAGTCCTTTTGAAATCAAAGCAGAGCCTGTGTCCTGCTGGTGGCACTGATGGCACCGGGTGGCACTGTAAAGTGCAGAACAATAGGACGTTGACATTTCATCTTTAAGGTTAAGGATACCTTGAGGATCTGTGGTCACATCTGGTGCCCAAGTTCACAGGGACACGTACGCCGTCATCAGTACCTTCACCATAGCGAGTCGAGTTCTTCAGTTATATTCCAATCTTCATCCAAGCGCATAAAAATAAACCAGTAAATCTAGGGAAGCCTTCAAAAGCATTTTTTTTTAAATATTGTGATAATAACATACAAGGATTGCTAAACCTTTGATGTAGAATTATATTATCTATCCAGGTACGTATGTGTTTGTGTTAAGGTGTGCTTTGTGGATGCTCGTGTCTTCCTAAGGTGTTTGTTAATGGCATGGAAATTTTATTTAAATAACTATGATGAGAGTTGTATTTTACACAACATGTGTATAAATTGTCTTATAAACTATTTACAGACACTGGAAGGCTTACAGGATAGAGTGACTTTTTTTTTTTAAGGTTTTTTTTTTCTTTCTTTCATTATTTACTTTTTTACTTTTTTTTTTTTATTGTTGGTCGTTCAAAACATTACACAGTTCTTAATACATTGTCTTATAAACTATTTACAGACACTGGAAGGCTTACAGGATAGAGTGACTTTTTTTTTTTAAGGTTTTTTTTTTCTTTCTTTCATTATTTAC